GAATCACATAACAGCTTTCTGAGACATGCGTGGCTGTACCGCTGTTCTATTGCCAGCCCAGCCCATAGGTAGGGTCGTCCTTGGATCTGGCTGGTCGACATTCTGGGCTTGATTTACTTTTGGATGTTTTTTTTTGATCAAGTTGTTGTTGCTACTTGGGTCCGTGGTAACATGCGACACTGTTCCTTGTGTGTCCGATGTGACTTGACCTGCGAGTGTGAGGTGGGACAGCAAGATGCCTCCAAAAGCTGTATCTTCTGAACCGGAAAGAAAGAAAAAAAAATTTGCTAGGATTTCAGAGCCCATTCTGCTCCGCAACCGAATCGACCGACAGGCAAGAGGCGCGTGCGTGCGCTGGGACGATTCCGCACGGGTCTGCAGACCGACAGACGTGCGCTTCCCCGTGCCCACGGCCGCTCACGCCATACGTGTGTCGTGTTTTTTTTTTAATTTTTTTTCTTTCTTGGGGATATCTTTCGATTGCTCTTTTCGCCCGCGAGATTCTCCGCGCACAAAAAATCCCGCTAGTCTTGCACGGCGATTTTCTTTACTATTTCCTCGAAAAAGGAGCCAATAAGTCCTTCATCTATAACTACTATCCGTTGAGAAGACACGGCACAATCACGATCCTAAACTGCCGTTGCGGTGAGCCGTCACGATCTTATCTCGGCATCTTGTTCGGAACAACTCCACTCTTATCGGAGCTCAAAAACAGCCGGGATCCAACTCTAACCTCTTTCTTTCTTTCTTTCTTTCTTTCTTTCTTTCTCTTCAATCAGAAGCCAAAGCCAAGGAAAAAAAACGTTCAAACATCTACTCGGGGCAAAGGGGTCCATACACTGGCAACCCGGAGAACAGATTAATCCTCTGACGTGGATCTGTGGGCCCCGTCGGTCGGAGGAAGAGGAAGTTCGTTACCCGCCCGCCCGTTCGTAGGGATAAACGACTCTGTTTTACTGATCCCAATCCACCCCGATTACCGCGGCCGTTAATCCTATCCACCACCGCCACCGCCCTTCCTTCTAACCCCGGGGCTATAAATACCCGGCGCCCGATCGGCCGATCCCACATCGCCTCATCACACCCTCCTGCTCCTCCCGGCAACCTCCAACCAACCTCTCGATCGATCGTAGCGGCTTCTGCTTTTTCGCTCGCGGCGATGGCGGTGGATCTGACCCCGAGGCAGCCGGCCAAGGCCTACGGCGGCGACGGCGGCGCCTACTACGAGTGGAGCCCCGCCGAGCTGCCCATGCTCGGCGTCGCCTCCATCGGCGCCGCCAAGCTCTCGCTCGCCGCCGGCGGCATGTCGCTCCCCAGCTACTCCGACTCCGCCAAGGTCGCCTACGTCCTCCAAGGTATATCTCTCCATCTATCACGCCGACCCCC